GGACTTCGGGAGCGGAACCCTCTCCGAGCAGGATCAGTCTCATGTCCAGCGTCTGGTGGAGCACGGCTTCATTGCCCCCAAGCCTCTCAGCAAGCACTCTCTGTACGAGCCCCTCGACGCGCGAATCCTGGCGATCCAGGTCAGATCAGCTTCTCCTAGGAGCAAACCTCAGAGCGGTGCAATTGTTGCCAACTGTCTGGCAATGAGGGGACATCGCCAAGCTTCTGGTAGCCTTTGCAAAGGACAGACGGAGCTCAGATATCAATCAATGCTCCCTTTCGCTTTGACCTTTTTATTGGGTGTCACGGACTTGTCACCATTTGCGATTGCGCCCTCGGAGTCCTAGTACAGGCCGAGTTGTTGGTCTTTATTAAGGCCTGACTGTAGACGTCAGTGGCAAGTTGCACGTCGGTTCGAGCAGTGTTCAATAAAATCGGTTGGTTTGTGGTACACTGCACTGAGGCGCCAGCAGCTCCCTCGCACCTCTTTGCAACACCGATTACGTGTTCCATGACCCCTTTGGCTCTGAGTGGGATCTACCTCCTCGGACGACATTCTGGAGTGGGCGGCTGCCACCCGCCACTTTGCACCTTTTCATCCTTGCTTTGGTTGCTCCCAAGGGGCATCTGTTATTGCACTATCGAAGGAGTCGGATTTGGAGTTGCCTAACGTTGACCTTAACGTTGAAAAGAACAAGCCTTCGCTTTAGCCATTAGTATGCATGGCTTGTCGTCTGGTGCCCCTGCATTTTAGAAAGCCGACCTTCTTCGTTCTTTCACGCAGGTGCTGGGACAAAAGGACGGGTCCATCAACCGAGCGGAAGGGAAGGTGCTGGAGCTGATTTTGCGGAGTGGAGAGGCGATTGCCTTCTGGAAGCACCGGTACAACATTCAGGTAAACATGTTTTGTCATTTGCATAACATCGTCATTCATCGAGTCTGTACAGCACTTGTCCCTAGCAGTTGTTCCTCTCTGTGAAGAAGCTCCGCTTCTCAATCGCAGCCCCCCTGTCAAAAGACCAAACCTTACTGTGCTTCAGGACAGTCAGGGCAGAGAAGCTCTGAGCAGCCCGTGCTGGATACCTTGGTTAGCAACTGAGAAGCAGCATGTTAGGGCGGTCCGTTATCTCATTACGAGCACTTATCCCGTCGCCCTCGCAGAGTGGAGCGGCTCTTTTTCAAGGTTCCATGCTTCCCTTCCTCCTTTTTAAGGATCGATCAGATGGATGTCGCACCCTTTTCTGTTCACTTCTCCGTCGGTTGGGGTTTGGTGGACTTAGAGGCTGGGCGGCTTTTCATATAGTTTTTACTCTTCGTACTCTTTTCGCTTCACAGGGAGAAGTAGTGGCGTTTTCGGGGGATTTTGCCTACAGCAAGAAGGAATTTACCTGCGAAATCGATCTGCTACTGTTCGAGACCCTGGATGGACTTACCTCAGCGTACTTTTTCTCCGCCAAGCGCCTAGAGGAAAGACAGGTAAGTACCAGAATGTGCATTCGCGTTTGGAATTGGCTCCGTTTCGGAAGGCACAATACCTCTTTCCACATTCTAATGGCATGCGCAGATGAATGTTCGCATGCTTCTTCCTCAAACGTGATCGAGGGTGCGTTTGAGTCACTGGCCTGCCGCAGAAGGAGAGTGAGACTGAGACTGAGATAGGAAAACACGGCCTTGCAGAGATTCAAGGAGTCCTTTACGGACCACCTCAGCAAGTTCTATGTTGCGGGGCCGGTCGAGGCAAGAGAACTTCTGAAGATAACGACCAAGGTTACGTTCGTGGCCTTCAGCGCCGTCCCGCACCATCATCCGTTTGCTGTGGCGAACCTTGGAGAGCGCATGGAGGTAAGCTGTGTTGGGTTTGTGAGGTCAGGATCCAACATTCCTCTTTGAAAGCCTGTCGGAAATGGGGCAAAGGTTTTGCACGCTTTGGTTTGAACGAAGTTTCAGAAACTCATTTTCTGGATGGGCTTCCAGCTGATTCGATTAATTCAGTTTCTTGGTTCATGGCGTTGTTATTCCTATGACGCAGCTAGAGGTGGGCAGAGAAACGAAGACAAGATTGGAGTTTGGTTGCGTGACCGACCGTGTGCTGCTAGGAGACATGCTGCAAGAGATTGCGACGCGGAGAAATTGGGAATGGAAGCCGGTGGTCTTGATCCAGTCTGTGCTGTAATCCAGCTGAAAATCAGAATGAGTGATTGCTACTTTGGGTACACTCTGACTGTTCGCAGGGATTATCCACGTATTGGATGCATGCTGGTGCACTTGATGCAACACTGACAGGTGATAAATTGACATGCAGAACCGAGGTTTGCACACTGGCAGGCTATGGCGCTAGTGTCATATGCATTGACCACAACGATCGATGCACTTGGGTTCTTTATCAAGCTCGATTTCATGTCTTGTAGCGATTATTGCATATTCTGCCCAACCTGGCTCTATCGTACTGGAAAAACCATATTAACCATATGCCTGTGCATACGCATGGCTTGCGTTGATATGCACATTCGCACAGTGAAACTTCTGATGTCAAGCCCATGTGACTATGGCGCTTGAAAAGAAAAGAGACAATCTCTCATGTGTATCCTGGTAACGTCGGCGCGCCGCCCGATGGCTCAACGCGGCCAAGGTAGTATAAAAGCCAATGATCATCTCTAGCTTCAATGCATGTCCAGCTGTAGATGCCTTAGCACTAGAGATGTAGTACTGCCCATACACCAGTCGGCGCGACCTTGCATTTCCCCAACGCCGCCACGGAGCGGATAAGCTATCTGCCCAGAAGGACCTGGCACCTGGCCGGCTCACCATTACCAGCTCGTGTGTGTGTGATTACCAGGCTGTTGCAGACCGTTCCCACCCACTTCACTGGCAATGTTCGCAGCAAGCAGCTTAAGGTATACAGTAGACAGGCCACGGGTAGCGCGAAGCAGCAAGGCAATGGTCGATGCAAAATTTCCTTGTGACTTACGATGGTGGCTTCCCCGGGTGTTGTTGAAGATTGCTCACCGCATTGCCGCTATCAAGCTTGCTTTCAGATGTTTCCACAGCTGACTCAGATTCCTTGAATGTGACTCAGATTCTGGACAGGTCATCAGGCACACTTGCCGGCGGCACCCGATGGCGCACTCTGGCATCCTTTGGCAGCTCTTTGAGCTTGTTTTCGTGGGCTGCCATGGTCCCGAACTTCATTTCTCAAAACAGCAAAGGCTCCATTTCTGGAAAGAGCTCTGGAGCGAGCTTAGGAGCCGGGAGTCTGCGGTCAACACGTCTTGCGCGCAGGCGTCTGATGACGGTCAGGTGGGAGCAGCTTGCCTTCTATCTTTTAAAACAATCCTGAAGGCCTGTGCTGTGTGCTGTCAGATGGATGTTTCTGGGTCTCTGTGCTCTTGGAAGAGAGGGGCTGCTAGGCATGTTGGAACCTGACCAGGCGTGCGTTTTTCCATCAACATTAGTATGCAATTGAGCGGGCAGTCAGCAACATGCACATGTCTTGCTGATCCAATATGACATCTTGCACGCATGCATGCATGCACATACTCTTTCATGGCCTTGGTGCAGGTTGAATATTCAGTGAAAACAGAGTACGTGGGCAGTCGCACTGCGCACCAAATCAAAAGGTAAGCTCTTGTGCCCAGGCTTATGTGCTTCCGCAGCTGGCCGGCCTGCACATTGCAGGCTGAGGGCTGTGCTTGCAAAGCAGGACTAATCACAGCTGATGGATTGCATTGATTCTCACCAGAAGTCAATTGCTCGTCAATGCATCTTCGGAATCTGAGGGATCCTCTGAGCATTATCTGTTCAATTCTTGCAGCAGATGGCAGAGAAGACGTCAGCGCTGTCGCAGGAGCTGGCAGCCACCCTCTTTGACGCCAAGGAAGGCACCCCTTCTGTTGGATTACCGCCTTCCATTGGGGTGAGCTCATCAACGCTGTTCTGTGCGTGCGAGGTCCACGCAGTCAGGCCATATGGAACAGATCAATCAAAGCTCAGATTGAACAGACCAATTGGAGCTTAAACACACAGACCAGCCATTGCAATTTGTGAACTCCTGCCAGGCACATTCCTTGATTCTTCTGCAGTCAACAAATGAAAGGTCTGACAAGTTGCATTGGCTTAGAGGCTCAAATGCATTATGCAGCTGGTGCAAACCGTTGGGCCTTGCCAGGCACTTCACGGGCCCGTCTATGATTGTAGAGCAAAGGTCTGAAGGGCTGACAATTTGCTTTAGGCTTGGAGGCTGGTGCAAACTGTCAGCTCCTGCCGCGCACTTTCCTGAGGTTTCTTGTGAGATTCATGGCGCAATCTGCTGGTCAATTTGCTCTAGTGTGAAAGCTCAGACACATAGACCAGTGCTTTGCGTGCCAGACACACAGCCAGACAGCAGCAGAGACACATGTGCCTTCGGTGATGTCATCGTAGGCTCTCTCTCTGCAGGGGGGGAATCAAGCAACAAAGGAAGCCACCCCGCGCTCATCTGGTGCTGCACCCAATTTGAGCAGCCCCTTGGTTCAACCCATGCATGAGGTGGTTCATGGCGCAATGAGTGGCGCGGAGTCAAAAGCTGGGGTAAGGCCAGCATCTTGGTTGCAGCTTACGAGGCTCTTCAGGATCATGAGTAGAATGGCCAGGTTGACTGCAAGTCAGAAGGTCAGCCTTGGAAGTCTGGAATGCTTATATT